ATCATGAACTCGCCGATCGCCTCCTCGAGGCCGAACTCGCGGATGATCTGCGCAACGCTCTCGCCGAGGGCCACCGACCCGACCCCTGCCAGGCGCTCGCTTGCTGGGCGGATCCGTCGAAGCCGAAGGAGCGCCGTAGCAAGAGGTGGCCAGTCCACCTTTACTGTCTCGTCGAACTCCCCCACCTTGGAGCTCACGCCGAGCTCGAAAGGATGTAGCACGATGGTGACTGCGGCCCCGGGCCCACTCGCACTGACTGGCGGGCGGATCATCCCCCATGCGGTGCGGGACAGCTCGCCGGGGCGAAGGTAGCAGTGATGTGCCACCAAGACCGCTACGCCTTGCTGCAACTTCCCCTGTGCGATCAGCTCGTTCGCCACCACAAAGAGGAGGCTCTCGGGCACTGGCAGCCTCGACTCGCCCGGAGCAAGTCGGCGCAACGCCGCGGAACATGTCCGCGCCCGAGGGAGGTAGCACACCTGCTTGCCCACGGAAGCGAAGGCCCAGGACAGCGCCGCCAGCAACCGCCCGCCCTCGCCCCCCGTCGTGCCCTCGAAGAACTCCTCGTTGAGGTGCTCCGCCACCGCCGTGTCCAGGCTCACCACGCTCATCTGGCCGAGGAAGCGGATTATGCGATCCTGCGCCCAGTCCAGCTCCGCGCCCGTCACGTTCTGCGCGATCACCATCCCCGAGCGCCGCGCCAGCCCCGCCAGCCGACGGAGGTACGATCGCCTCGTCGGCGCTCGCACTACCACCGTCTCCAGCACCGTCCGACCCAGCAAGGCCCGCACCGCACCGCGAGCATCCTGCCGTCGCCGAACTCGACGACGCACATGCTCTGGCGCTGTGGCAGGGGCCAGGCGCCGTCGCGGCAGGCGAGGATCCTCGGCTGGCGCCGTCGCCGGCGCGGCCAAGGCCAACCCTCCCGCTGGGGGGGGGGGGGGCGGACCGCGCCCGGCGGCAGCTCCGGCAGGGCCGGCGCCTGACGGGTCAGAACGTGCCCGGCGTCGCCGCTCCGAGAGAGCACTCTCTCCTCGCGCGCTGCCCCAGCCACGGCGGAACTTGCCTTCAGCGGTCGCCGCGCCAGCATGCCGCAACCCGCGGCGGGACGGCCCGTCAGCCACGTTCCTCTCGCTGGGCACCCATCGCAGACAGAGCTGGATGTCCCACAGCAGAAGGAGGGGGGCCAGCTGGCGGGCGACGCGGCACTGACCAGGCGCGCTCGATCTCCCCTTTTGAGCCGAAAGCAACGCGCCCATGGAGTCCGTGAGAACGAGGACCCGCTTCTGGATGTACCCGCGAGTTTTTGCAACCTTCCTGAGGACTCCCACCAGAGCTCGACCTTCAAGACAGGTGATGTGTTCGCTACGCTCCCAAGCCTTACTACTGACCGTATGCCACTTAGCATGCAGCAGGCTAGTGTGAAGCCCAGGAACAGGAGGCACTCCTCGCAAGGAACCTTCAGGTGCCCCAGCGCCATCGTCATCCCCTTCTTCCAGTACAGCCTGAGGACTAACACGACCTCCGCCCAAGAAATGCCACCGATCTGAATACTTGCTGGCCTCGTCCAACACCTCAGTGAGCGGCCGTGCCGCACATATCCCAAGACCCCACGGTGACGCATCACAGGTATAGGCCCTCGGTCCCCACGGCTTGGTAAGGTCGCACTCAAGCAGCGGAAGCGACGCCTGAGCCCAACGGAGCTCTCTCAGCACCGCGGGCCACAACTTGGAGGGGCTATCGGGGTTCTTCTCTATGAATACGTACACGGCACGATAGCATGACAGCAACTCCTGGCGGAGCATTGCCTGATGGGTGATGTGTCCCAGGATCTTCCGGAGCGTCCTACCAGAGCAACGACGGCGCCTCAAGAGGAACGCCAAAGCCATCCACACCTTCCATCTCCCTTCATGCCGTGGCAAGATCCGACCGTCTCCCGAGACACTGAGCCCCAGTAGATCTCCCCCAACTCCGACGACATCGACCTCGTGAGCCTCTAAACCGGCACCTCGAACAGCCTCCAGGGATCGCTGAGTGAGATCACGACAAACCTCAGGGGAGCTCGAGAAGACGCCCACGTTGTCCACATATACTGACACACACCCATTTTTCAGATCACCAACTGGCCGATGATCCTGTAGAAGATGAGAGCCTGGAAACGCCTGGCTCAAAATCCTCGTGTATTGTCTGGCACCAGTACAGCGCGTGGACCCAGCCCATCGGCATAACAGTAAGCCGAGGTCGCACAATCCCTCCAGTGCTCAGAATGTCGGGGAGCAGCTGCTTCATCCACTTTGCCTTGATGGGGGGCAAATGGAAAAATCTCCGCAACTCGGGGGGCGTTCCAAACTGAAAGAAAGCATCCTTTAAATCGTACAGACCTACATACAGCTGCTCTCCGGCCTCGAGCCGCAACCTGGACAGGGCGCCCGACGTGGGCAGCTCGACGTGATCACTACTTGTGAAAAAGCAATTGGACTGCCGACAGTCGGCAATCAGGCGCTGGGCACCGCTCTTCTTGCGCACAGTAAAAAGTCCTACGCAAGCGTCACCTTCCTCGCACACAAACTCAACCATGTTCCTGTCATGCAGCATCTGATGCACGCGTGCATATCTGCGCATTGACTTGCGCAGACCAGGGCCATGATAAATCTTCATCTTGCTCACTTCAAAACTGTGCATGCCCACCGAGTTTGGCAGCACATGCTCGCCCATCCACTCCTGGACTTCCTCACGACCTTTGGGGCCCAAGAGCTGACATATATCAGTTGGGGCCGCCCCTGCTGGCCTAAGCGACAACAGAGACTCGTCCAGGGGAACTGCCGGCGAACTCTCGCCAGAGTAGTCACACCCCCCGCTGATGCTCGAAAAAGCCTCGGCCGGCTGAACATCAGCGGCGGGGGTACCCATCCTACTGCAACGTTCCCGGAGGTGCCCCATGCTGCCCTCGCCCAGAGACGAAGCAGCACCAGCAGGACAGCACGGAGCACCACCCAGGTAAATTTCCGTAAGGACGGAGGCGGCGCTGTGACTAAGCCTATCCAACCACTGCTCAGAAGAGACTGGGAGACTGCTCAGCCCTGGCGGCCGCCTAGTCGCACAGATCGAGGGGTTTGACCTCGATGCTTTTACCCGATGCTTTAAAAGTGGCCGAGGCTCAGTCGACGAAAGTAGCCAGCTCGACTTTGCACTCGACTTGGTCGCTCCTGCGAGCGATGAATGGCCTGCCTGCACTGCTGGCCGTCGGAGGAGGCCGTCTCCGATGGCCCCGCGCGTGCTCATTGCCCGCCGCCCCCACGGCCACGACCACCTCCGCCTTGGGGCTGACGAAGGAGGGCTCTTTCTTCTCGTGCTTTTCTGGCTTGCTTCTGGATCTGCGATTCCTTCTCTAATTCCTTACTCACGTGCTCAATGAGCGTCGGGGCACAGCACACCGAAGGATTGACATGCTCCCGTCCCTCGAACAGGTCCATCTCGTCATTCGTGATGACGGCCGAGCCGGCGATGGCGGAAGACGCGCCGGCGGTGCCACCGCGCTCGCCCTCCCGAACCTTCTCCGCGTACTGGTACTCTATAGTCTGGAGTCGGCGTGCGATCTTCTCCATCACCACCAAATTCGACAGGTCGAGCTGGTCCACGCTCCCCGCCGCCTCCAGGTACGAGCACAGCTGGCCGTGCTCGGCCACGCCCCAGTCTGAGGCGTTAAGTCGAGCGGTCGACCTCCACCAGCGGTGGTGGTCCTCCGGCCCTGTGTTGCGTCGGGACATGAAGCGGGCCACCCACTGCGCTGTCCTTGGCCCCTTCACGGGCCTGTGGTCGATCGCACTCTCGTTCACGCTCTCGGCCACGTCCGCCCAGCTGCGCAGCCGCTCACCAGAGGGGGAGTACCGCACCGGCAGCACCCGCGCGTCGCTGGAGGCGGCGTGGGCCGTCTTCCACTGCTCGACCTGATTCCTCGCCACCTTCTCAACCATGAGCACATCCAGCCCAGCGCGAGCGAGGCCGCCCTTCTCCACAAACACCTCTGGCTGCCCTGGGCACTCGCCTCCGACCGAGAACACCGCGTTCGACTCCGCGAACAGCCAGACCTCAGGCTCGGCCCCTGGCGGAGCCACTCCGCGGCCGGCCAGTGCCACCAGATCCTGTGCCTCCTCCATCAGCCCACGCAGCGCGGCCTGATCAGGTTCGGCACCGGCTCTGAAATTGTAAATGTTGGCACCCTGCAGGCTCGCCGGGATGCTGCCGTCCGCCTTGAAAGCCCGCACACCTGTGATGTCGCCGTTGTTCGGGCCGTAGTCCTCCTCATACAGGTCACTATCAGGTGTATATATGATCCACCGTGTGTCTTCAACACGCGCGAGCAGGATGCGAACGTGCCAGATGTCATCGTCGTAACGCACCAGCACCTTACGCCCCGGGGCCAACGACGATGACACCGCCGCCGCCCCCGCCGCTCCTGCCTGCCCTGCTGCCGCCACCAGCTGCGCCATCGGTCAGGCTGACTACTCGCTTGGAACTCCGAAACGAGCAGCCACGACCTAGGAGAGTTCCCACTACGAAGGCCACTGCGATGAAGCCGGCGTGCAGCACGAAATTGAACTCGTAGCGCGTTGTGCTGGTCGTTGGGCCTTGCAGCTGCTGGGAGACCAGGCGCTCGAGTGCGGCGCACTCTCCACTCGTCTCGCCTGAGGCGACGCACTGGCAGACACACGGCGGACACGCCTCCTCAACCTGAGGCCGCGAAAAGAGATGGTACACTCCCGACAGAGAGTCACGTGTGAGTGTGTATAGCAGCAGAGGGTCTACCTGCATATGCATCCAGGGAGCCCTCCCTTTGAGCAACACACGCTGCGGAGAGCAACATCGGCTGACGCAAGACGTGCGCGCACTAGTATCATCGTCATCACCCTTCTCCCGTATCCCGCCTCTCCCTACTGCTCCTGCTGCCCCTCCTCCGCCTCCCTCCCTATCCTCCTCTCCCCTCGTCCCTCTGATCCTTATCTCCCCACCGAGGCGCGCGCGATGCCCACGCTGCTCTTCTTTCACTCAGGGCGGGGCCAAGGTCGAGCACCCTGCAAACGGCTAAAACGCTCGAAGGCCTGAGTGCCTCCGAGCTGAGTGCCTCCGGAGCAGGCGAAGGCACGGCATGAAGGTCCCGGGGACCTTCCTCCTCCTCCTCCTCCTCCTCCTCCCTCCCTCCCTCCCTCCCTCCCTCCCTCCCGCCTCCCTCCCTCCTCCCCTCCCTCCCTCCCTCCCTCCCTCCTCCCCCTCCTCCCTCCTCCTCCTCCCCTCCTCCTCCTCCTCCTCCTCCTCCTCCTCATCCTCCTCCTCCTCCTCCTTCTCCTCCTCCTCCTCCTCCTCCTTCTCCTCCTCCTCCTCTCCGCCTCCCCGCCAGTCAGCGGACCCTTCGGCGTGTCGTGCGGTACCGACTTCGAATTTGGAGGTTTCTTGCAGTTTTCGTCGGCTCTTGCAGCATTCTCGCCCCCAGATGCTCTCCAGCAGCTGCGCCTCGCCAAGAGCGAGCCGGGGATGCCAAAATCACTCCGAACGGCCGTCAGAGGGACTAGCTATGGCCCAGAAACCACTCGGTAGGTTCGCGTCGTGACGACTGGCGCAGTGGTGTCCGACACAGCGCAGAATCAGTCAGCATGGAATCTGGAAGTCGGGTCGAATCAAAGTGTGCGTCGGATCTGGCCGCATCCGCACGGGGTCGGAATCGCAATCGATTCGGCTGCACCAAGATGCACAACACCGCCGTCAGACATCGGGCCGCATCGGATCGTCGGAATCCGCAGACCCTGTCGGAATGTGTGAGAGGCTTTTCCGTTTGAGTCGTCGTCGTCATCGTCGTCGTCGTCACCCCCCCCTCCCTGGGCCCTCCTCCTCCTCAAGCGTGCCAGCCCGATGGTAATCGAGCGAGGTAAGAATCGAGCCGAAGGGAAACGCCTTCCCTTTGATCCCTTCCCCGCCAGGGGGTGGGGGGGCCGGGAGGGTTCCCAGGAGTTGTGACCCCCCCCTCCTGGGGGGAGCTCCCCTCCCTGAAAGAAGCTTTCGGGTTGGGGGGGGTCCCCATGGGGGGGTTCCACCCCAGGGGGGAGCACCCCTCCCTGGAAGAAGCTTTCGACTCCAGGGCGTCAGCGTCGTCGTCGTCGTCCCCCCTTCCCCCTTCAGGGTCGGCGGCACTGGCCGTAAGGCATTGGCAAAGTCAGAATCGAATCGGATGGAGCGGGCTGGAATCGATATCGAATCGGATCGATCGGATCGAAACGTGCCCAGAGCTCTCCCCAAAGTGTTGTGTGCGTTGTTGATGGCTCAGTGACTGCCTCTGACGCCCTGGGACCTGGGTAAGCAGGAGGAAGGAGGAGAGAGAGGGACGAGAAGGACGTGGAGGACGAGAAGAGAATGGCAAGGATGAGGAGGGGAAGGACGAGAATGATGGGGGAGGCAGAGTGGGAAGATTGGCAAGGAGGTGAAGGACGAGGATGAGCAGAACGAGGAGGATGACGAGGACGACGACGAGGATAAGATGGACTGGAATGAGTAGGAGAAGGAGAAGGAGAAGGACGATGAGGAGAACGAGGTTGGATAGAAGGGCGAGCAGGAGGAGATGGAACGGATCGAAGGTAAAGTCAACACACACCACCAATACTGCAATACACCCTACACCTTCCCGGTCCAAGTTCCGTCGCAATGAGTCACTAAAAAGTTTGATGTTCACACAACGGGGCGGAGTGGGTCGTTGGAAAGTGACGAGAGCCCTAGGTATCTTGAACGTCGCATTGTCGCTCATGTCATGATCCCACCTCGGAGCATGTTAAGCATAATGATTGTGCGAGGGGATCGCCCACCATCAACATAGCTGGCACAAGCTTCAAAAAGCTGTGCGCAGCACCAGAGGATGATCACGAGTTCTGAAAGGAGCCGCGCAGCTGCTGACATTACAAGCATTATGGTTGCGACATGTGGAAAGAAATATCGAGCGAGTGCTCAATATTGATAAGGAGCCGACTTGCATCCATGTAGTGGTTGAAAGTTTCAAGCTGTGGGGTTCCAGAATGCAACGGCATTCCAAGCGACCTGTATGCAAAGAGCCACCCTGCTTGAAAGGGATAGACAAGCGGCATGGTACTATAATGCAGAACTCGACTTGTTAAACTGAAACCGCTATCTGTCGGCTGTGGTTGATGAAACTCCAGATCTGCATAGACGAAGCGTGAAGACGTCTCCAACGAGAGCCAGCTTCTGACAACGACCTGCACACAGTCCATGAGGCGCTTGAAAACCTGACCGACGACTGTACCTAACACTAGGGCGAGAGCGGGATGCTGAAAATGACCCACCTGCCAGCGGCATCGCTGCTAGGATGCGAGGATGTCTCGAGCGGCACACCCGAACCGCACTTCTGGCATGCATGGTAGCGAGAGGAGGAGGACGAGCAGATGGACAAGGAGGGAGCGAGCGAGCGAGCAGAAGCCGAGAGGCAGCAGGGTTCGGTCCGCCCGACGGGCGGATCAAGGAAGGGGAGAAGGATGAGGAGAAGGACGGCACCCAGCAAGATGAGGAGAATTGGGAACAGGGGGGGTGGAAGCAACAGCTGGAGGAGGAGATGAAGAAGAAGTCAGTGAGTGAGGATAGTGACTGCACGAGAAGAGTGAGAAGGAGAAAGGGCTCGGCACGGAGAAGACGAGTGTGACGAAGATTGGAGGGAGAGGGGCGGATAAGAAGAGGAGGTGGAAGTAGGAGGAAGCAGGAGGAGGACTGGAAGAAGCACAGAAGAATGCCAATACAATTTCCAATCCTCCTTCCCGATCCCTCCTTATCATTCTTCCTTCCGCCTCCTCATCTTCATACTATTCGTCCGCCACCTCCTCCTCCTCCTCCTCCTCCTCATCCTACTCCTCCTCCTCCTCCTCCTCCTCCTCCTCCTCCTCCTCCTCCTCCTCCTCCTCCTCCTCCTCCTCCTCCTCCTCTTCACCACCACCACCACCACCACCACAACCACCACCACCAGCACCATCGTCTTCGTCGTCGTTCTTTCATGCTTCCATCTTATGTTTCTTCCTCATCCCTCCGCTGCTCCCTCCTCCCTTTTCCTTATCTGTCACCTCCACATCCTCCACGTCATCCCTCCCTCCTCGTCCGCGTATTCCACTTCCTCCTCCTCCTCATCCTCCTCCGCCTCCTCCTCCTCCTCCTCCCTCCTCCTCCTCCTCCTCCTCCTCCGCATCCTCCGCATCCTCCGAATCCTCCTCCTCCTCCTCCTCCTCCTCCTCCTCCTCCTCCTCCTCCGCCTCTTCTTCCTCCTCCTCCTCCTCCTTTTCCTCCTCCTCCTGCGAAGGTCTTCAGGCTTTCGAGTGCTGCGCCGGCAGCAAGGGCAGCAGCGGCGGTGCAGTGCGAACGTGCAGGAGGCGCGCGCAGGCGCCTGGAAAGGGCAGGCGCCCAGAAGCCAAAGGCTTGCTGGGCGGTGCGAGGCGGAGATGAGGCAGGAGGAGAAGGCGAGCGAAACAGGAGCGAGGGGGGAGGGAAGGAGGAGGAGGAGGAGGAGGAGGAGGAGGTCGGAGCGTCTGGGGGGCCAGCGTCTTCAAACCGAACTAGGGCCGACGTGGCCGCCTGCGGCCTGATTTGCCGAGGGGTAGGTCGACCGCTTGGAGGGCAGCTCTCGCCAGGCTTTGGGCGGCCTCCTGAGAAAGTGGGATCGGGTGGGCCTTACTCTCTTGGTGGGCCAGACGATAAAACTGAAAATGCAACACGGTAAAACGGAAAGCTTCGGGGTTTGGGTGGATCAGGCCCAGAGCCAGGAGGGGGTCCAGAAAGGGGGCCGCAGGGAGATCCGCTCGAAGCTGTCTACGGGCGAACATATACATGGGAGAGTAGTGGCAGAAATAATGTTTGAACGAATCGCGGGCCCTCGGACACCCCCAGACGCATCCCCTGTAAGGGTTGCGCATCCTAGACTCGGTGATCCACCCTCCCCCCCGGTCTTAATGCAGGCACTGCGCCAGGACGGGGGGACACGATGCATCACCGACGACACGACAGACCAGCCCACCGCCTCAGCATCAGCGTCGCGGGCCCCGAACCAGCGCTGGAGACGAGCGGCGAGACGGGCGCGCAGGCGAGAGGGGGGCGGGAGGGACGAACGCAGAAGGGAGGAGTAGATAATTGCCTGAGGGCGGACTCGCGAGGCGGCCTCCCGACGCTCCGCCTCCAACGCCCTGCCGGCGCAAGCTCGCGGCGAGGGCCCGCGCACGCTTGCCGCTCGATCGAGCGCGGTGGCCATCGCCTCCGAGCGCCACCACGCCGGCCAGGGCTGGCCGCCGAGCCAGCGCACCATGGGGAGGTGGCGGCGCGCGGTCACCCTCAGCGCAGTCGCCTCCGTCGCCGCCACCGTGCGGAGGGTCGTCGTCGCCGCGCGGAACAGACGGGCCTCGGTCCAGAGGCGGGCTGACCGAACGCGCGGGCCTCCGACCTCCTGGAGCTGGCGCCATTCTCCGTCGCCCAAGAACGAGCCAGGGGGCCTGAAGAGGCGCGGCAACAGAGCTCGCTCCAGCTTCCTGAGGTCCGACGGGGGATCGAGGAGCTGCGCCTTGTAGCCGAGGACCGTGACGCAGCGCTCGTCATACAGCAGGGCGAGGGCATGGACGTCCGATTTGGAGCGCGCGACCTCGCCCACCCTTTCGCGGAGCTTCGCCAGCGGGGCCCTCCATTGCTGGTCCAGCTGCGCGCCAGGGCCCAGCAGCACGCCCAGGTACTCCAGCGCGTCACAGCCATGGAAGTCACGCCAGTCATAGCAGATCTCTCCCAGGAGCGCCGTCGCCTGCATCGCGAGATCCTCAGAGAAGGGGGCGCCGAGCGGGATGGCGAAGCACTTGCTCGACTTGATCCGCAAGCCCGCGAGCAGCCGCGCCATCATGAAGACCCTGGCGGCGGCGCGGAGCCCAGGGCGACCGCGCAGGCCGCCCGCGCCCAGGTCGCCAGCGCACCAGCCGGCGCGGCCGCGCCGTTTCTCGTCCACGTGGATCTCCATATCTCGGCCGAAGGGGTGGGCGGCGAGCACATATAGCGTGCCGCTGGCGGGGTCGCCCTGCAGGATACCCGAGCGGACGACGAACATCATCTGGTGGGACCTGGCGGCTGCGAAGCTCTGGACGCCCTCGCAGTTGGATCGAATCGCAGCCTGGAGGCCGATGGGGGGCGCGAGCCGCCCGCAGCACAGAGAATATCCACTCGTGCTCGACACCGGGGAAGGCCTGGCCGAAGTCGAGCGCCAGGAGGAGCGGGAAGTCCTCCGCCTCCGCGCTCATGGCCAGGATGCGCGAGTATGAGTCGAGCTCCACGGTGTTGGCGCAGAAGTTCCGCCCTCGCAGGAAACCCCGCTGGGTGCCCACGCAGCGCAGCTTCGCGGCTCCCTTCATGCAGAGGTTGATGGCCCACATGACCGCCTTCTTGGAATTGTTCTCCAGCGCCAGCGGCCTCGTCTCGCCAGGGCGGCGGACCACCTCGTTCGGGCCATCCACCCTGGCGCCCTTGGCAGGGAAGACCGCCACAGAGAAGTCCCAGCAGCGGCACATCGGGAGGCCTTGCATCTGCCAGCGCATGGCCAGGGTCAGCGCCCCGACGCCGCGTCGCGAGGCAAGCCGCGCCTTGGGGCCAAGGCCGTCTGGCCCAGGCATGGCGCGCCGCGCCCTCCCGAGGGCCAGCGCCACGGTGGACTCCGTCGGGGGGGGGGGGGGGGGGGCGGGAGGTTCCAGTCGATGTCAGTGATGCCGTACCTGTCTAGGTAGTCCGCCTGGAGCTGTCGCTTGCGCTGCTCCAACCTCGGTTCCTGCGTCGGGATGGGGGGCGAGCCTGCAATTATCGAAGGTCACGGGCGGGCGGGGCCCGCCAGCCGAGCCACTTGATGGGAATCGCCGAAGACATCACGCCAGTAGTTGGCCAGAGCGCGCAGCACCTCGGACTCGGCCCTGGCAGTGCCCTCGGGGAGCTCGATCGCACTCAGGAATCTGCGCGCCGATGAGGGGGGCCACAACTCCGCACGGCGTCGGAGGGCCCGCTGCCGACGGATGAGGCTGGCCTTGCTGTGTGCGTTGGGCCCCGCGTCGATATCCTCCTGCCGTCGTTGAAGTCGAGCTTGCATCTCGCGATGCTGGGATAGCCTGTAGCGGCGAGAGAACTCCTCGGGGTCACGGAGGAGCACTCTGCGGGCGGCGAACGAATCGTGCACAATCTCGGCGACCTGCGAAGCCCAGGGGTGGAAGTGGAGGATGCGCTCGGCCATCGCGACGTTCTGCCGCCACGCTGCACGGCCCAGCCGCCGCCAGACCATCGCCGCGGGGGCCTTGCCCCCCGAGCTCCCGCGCAGGATGGAGCCCCACGTCGCCGCCGCAGCGCACTGGAGCAGTTTCGTGCGAACACGGGCGCGCTCGGGGGGCGAGAGCTCCTCCAGCGGGACCTGCTCCTCGCGCGCTCGAACCAACTGCGAGAACCGAGGGTGTCCCTGGATGAAGTCGGGGATCGGGGCGACGATGCCAGCGTCAAGGCGGCGCTGCCGCGGGCGGGGCGGCCAGGCAACCGAGAGCATGTCGCGGTCAGAGATGTCCTGGATGCGCAGCTCGTGGGGTTCGCCATGTACATGGGGATGTTGCCACGTTTGGAGCAGCGGCCATCTGGGGGCGCCGAGCCAAATCTTGTCGATAGTGGTGGCGAGCCACCGTCCCTGATGCCAGTGAGCGGGCTTCCGTGGGACCATCTCCGTGGCCGAGCGGAAGGCCTGCTGCCAGCATCGACCACGCGGATGAAGGGCAGCACGAGGGCCGCCACCAGGGACCAGGGGATCCTCCACCTCTGCGTTCTCACCGTAATTGAAGTTCCCCGTGATGACCACGAGGTGCTTGATCGGGTCGGCCTCCATGCGATGAAGGTCTTGCTGAATGGCATCTGCAACACGTGCCACCTGTTCATGAGAGAGGTCGTGGTCATGCACGTTCCAGTGTGTCAGGGAGTAGCCTGTATCTGCCCCAGCTTCAACCGTGGCACTCATCCGCACAACTCTGGCACGCACATATGACGAAACACGAGCTCGGGACGGGGCTTGACATGGAACACCGTGGCGACACATCCCCGCGACTCTCGAGAGCGAGAGGATTCGGGGGAGCCGCTGGCGAAGCTAGAGAAGACGCAGTAGTCCAGACCCGTGCGACCCACTAGAGCACGCAGACGCACGGCCGCCCCGTAGACCTCCTGCACGCTGAGGATAGCCCCTGCATGGAGCCTGGACTGGATGCACTCAACCTTCTTCACGGCAGTACTCGGAGAAGGATGACAGAATGCACGAGCATTCCACGCGGCAAAGCAAAGCTCCGCCTCCCGTTGCGGCTTGCCAAAGAGCCGCGCGAATTTGCTAAAGAGACCAATATTCTTGATGAGGGGCCAGGACTGCCTGCACCGTCGCCTCGAGGTCCTGGCGGTTGAGGCCGAGCTCCTGCAGCGCCGTGGCCGACCAGTGGACCTGGGGGGTGGCAGACGGGCCGGAGATGGAGACCCGCAGGAAGGCGCGCACCACGAGATCGCGAGGGAGCGCGCCTGCTTGTCCACGAAAATGCGGCGGGGCGGCTCCACAGCCCTGCCGAGGGCCATCGCCAGCCGCTTGAGAAGCAGCTCGTGGGCCACCTGCTTGCGGTTCTGGTCAGCGGAGACGTGGATCGGCGCAGCCATGCCCGCTGGTGCGAGGCCGTTGAGGCGGCGCCATTCCCCACGGCCAAGGCGCATGCATCCCAGGACCTTGCGCGAGCGGCGGGCCGCCAGCTCTGGGGCGCCCTTGAAGCGAAGGACGCAGCGCCTGCCGAGGGGCTCGGCGTCGACCTGGAAGGAGTCCTTCTACATGCCCGCGTCCGCCAGCAGAGGGGCAACAGCGTCGAGGAAGGAGTCCTTGGGCAGGTCCTCCCTGCAGCGCAGGACCACCGCCAGTGTCAGGCTCCCTGTCCCAGTCCGGGCCCGACGGGGCGGGGGTCGGCTCCGTCTTAGCCAGCAGGCCCATCTCTTCCCTGAGCTTCGCCATGTCCGCCCGCAGCTGCCTGTCCATGTCCATCTCGCGCTTGTCCACTGCCGCGACCAGCTGCTCGACGGCGCCCACGCGGGCCTCCATGACCGAGGAGATCTGGGCGAGGCCAGCCGCGAGGGAGGCGTCCAGGTTGGAGATGATGGCAGACTGGATCTGCTTGAGAAGGCGGCGGTGGGGCTGCGCAGCATCAGCGCCTCCTGGCCGGGAAGCAGGGCCAGGGGAAGCAGCAGGGCGATGAGGGCCATGAGCAGCAGCCGCATGAGCTGGCAGGCGACCGCGCGCGGGCGCCAGAGGGGCGCCGCCCGCAGAGAGGTACTGGCGCCACGGGTCAGAGCCGGCGCCGCCGCCGCCGCCGCCGGGGCCCGCGGCCCCGCCGCTGACAGCTGCTGCGGGGGCAGTGGCACCAGCAGCGGACTGGGAGACCGAGTCGGGGAAGGTCGGCAGCAGCTCCAGGTCGACCCCGTCCCGCTCGAGCTCGCACGCCGCATCGGCTGCCCGCTGCCGCATCTCCGCGTCCGCGCGCGAGAAGTTGTCGCCGCGGGGCAGGCGACGGCTGCGGCGCCTAGGGTCGCGATCACCAGCATCGTGGGAGGTCGCCGCTCGCCGCCGCTCAGCCTGCCGAGCCCGCCCCTTGGCCTTGCGGCGCTCGGAGGCACGAGAGCGGTCCGAGCGGCGCTGGCTCTCCGAGGAGGGCGCGGAGCCGCGGCCGCGCGGCTCGCCCCCCGAGATGTTCCCGCAACCAGTGCACTTCTCGCCACCTTCCAAGTCGAAGACCTCAGAAGCCGACGCCATGCAGGGGCCAGCTGGCTGGATGCGCGGGGGCGCGAGACATCTGGGCCTGGTGGCGGGAGCCCAACCCCGCCCGCGAAGGCCGAGAAGCGGTCGAGGTCTGGCCGCGGACCAGCGGCGCCCACGTTGCCGCTGGGCGACATGGGCACCTTGATCCAAAATGACTACGGGGGAGGAGGAGGAGGAGGAGGAGGAGGAGGAGGAGGAGGAGGTCGAGCGTGCCCAAAGGGGGAAATCCCCCACGAGACTGACGAGCGGCGCCAATCAGCCACGGCGCGATGGGCGGGCACGGCCCGCACGCGCGAGCTGGATGGCTGCGCGGACCGCTGAGGCGACCTCGTCGATCACGACGACGCGACCTTCCGAGATATGGGACCCGATACGACGAGCATGAAATAGGCCGCAATGACCTCAACATTTCGAAGGGCGTGCATCCGAGAGGGCGAGAGGCCTAGACGCACCGCAGACCACGCGGGGACAGGATGGCCGAGGGCTCCGCTCACAATCGATCCAGCGCGAGAACATCGGAGCACATAGCGCTCGAGGTGGTCGGGGCCCCCACACCCAAAGATGCACCGCCGACACGCCCGCTGCATTCCGCGGAGAGTGGTCCATCCGCCGAGCCAGGTCTTGAGGGCTGCGGACGGGAGAGCCTTCGGGACCTCACCAAGATCTTTCCGACCCCCCCCCCAGTCCACCCCCGCCACGACGTTAGGTCCTCCGAACCATTTCTGAAGTCGAACGACAAGCAGCCCCTCGGGACAGGATGGGAAAAGAGCGGCAGAGAAAATCGAGAGGAACCTAGCTTGCCACCTGGGCCTCCTCGGCTCGCTTGGGTCTCGGGGCGCTTCGAATCCGGCCAGACATCAAGCTCCAAAGACAGCGAGGCGAGTCCCAGGGAAGGCCCGCGAGGCAGCTTCGAGGCCAAGCGCAATCGGAGCCGAGGACCACCAGGCGGGGGGCAGCCTCGAAGGGTCGAGAGCGGCGAGACACCCCTCGGCTCCGATTGCATCTCGCAGCATCGGCAGGCTAGGTCTCCAGGTGGCGATCGGACAGGGAGCACTACGCATGAGGGCAGCTACACCCAGGGTCCGACTACTAGTCAGCGCTGGGCCGTTCCAGGCCCTCGGTCGAATCAGGCAGGGTGCGACAACAGGCTCTCAGAGGTCCTCCAAATCGAAGCAAACAAAAATCTCTCCGACATTCCGAGGGCCCTGGGGAAATGATAGGGCTGCATCTTATAAGACAGGATGGGGAGGCATCGCTCACGATAGTAGTGGAAGACGGACGAGGGGTCAGCGGCCGACCTCACATACGTTTTCACTCAGTCTCGCAGCTTCGCACACGGGGCGCGCCACTGCTCGTCCTCCGTTACGGCAGGCCCCATCTCGCAGCCGAGGTACGTGGCCTGCGCCGCGACAGTGAACGAGCTCCACCCGCACCTGTCCAGGAAGACCCTGACCTCCTGCATCACCTCCTCCGAGACGGCGGCGAACAGCGGGATGGCCACGCACTTGGCACCCTTCAGCGCGAGGGTCGCCAGCCGCTGGGCCAGGCCGAAGACCCTCCTGGCCACTCGGAATGCATCAGCATCGCGAAGAATGGCTCCCATCTCGTCAGCACAGGCGAAGATCATGCCACGACCTTTCGCCTGGATGTTTCGCAGCATGCCCAAGTAGAAGCAATTGGAGGCGAGCACGTAGACCGAGCAACTGAGCGAGCAGCCCTGGAGGACGCCACTCAGCATCCAGTACACAGGGCGGAAGCTGCCAACAATCGCAAGCCAGCACAGGCTCACCAGGTAGAACTAGTCGATGGTCGAGCCCAGGCCAGCAGGCAGGCGGTGGAGCCGAATACACAGCATGACCCACGCTTGCCGAATGCTGGGGAACGCCTGCGCAAAGTCGAAGGCGGCCATGCATGGTTTCCAGTCATCCTGCTTCCCCGTCCAAGCCGCAGGCGGGCGGCGGCCAAACGAGCTGGCAGCTCTTGCATGGCAGTCCATGTCCATGATGTGATCGATAAAGTTGCGGCCCCTCACAAAGCCCTTCTGCACTGGCGCCGCCACATCCTGTATGAAGCTGCTGGTGTGGTGGTTGATCGCGCCAGCAATCGTCTTGTTCGCCGTCAGCTTCAGACCAAGCGGACGCGCGTCCTTCGCCGCCCGACTCATTGGGACGCCAGCCTCATCCGAGGGGTCGTCGCCCTTCGGCAGGAAGGAGCCCAGCGAGTGGAAGATGCGCCGCGGCATGCCGATGCCCTGCGCCATCCACCAGAAACAATTGTAGAGCACCTCCGCGCCAGCTCCAGCACGCCACGTACGATGCACCAGACAATCAACACCAGGGGCAGAATCCTGCACCTTCGCCAGATAATTGCGAAAGGAGGACAGCGTCGGCGGCGCCATCGCGGCGCGGTCACCCGTGGCCGCGAAGCGCCCGGCGTAGATCTCCGCCTCGACAGGAAGCGGCGTCTCAGACTGGAATGGGGCGCCCAGTATGCTGCGAGACCCTCGGCGATGCCCTCAGGGGTGGGTTCATGGTCACGCACAGCTCCTAGCACCCTCTGCTTCTTGGGGGTGTCCCACACGGCAGCCCGCCTCCGCAGTGCCCGCTTCTCCTTCATGGCCTGCCGAGCAACGGGCGGCGGCTGAGCGCCCCGCTGGATAGCCTCCAGGCGCGCCTTCTCCGCCAGCATCGCAGCTCGCTGGCGCTGCGCGTGCGCCGCGCAGCAGGCGGCATAGTCGAGCACCTCCACCTCACGCGAAACGGGATTGACGGTGACGAACTCCGAGGGCCAGCCGCGGTGGAAGAGGAGGCGCGCCGCGAGGCCGGGGCCCTGCCTCCAGATGGCCCGCGACATCGAGCGAATAGCCATCGCCTTCTCATGAATGCCACCCCCGTTCTGATCCAGCAGCAGATTGCGCAGCGCTTTCCCCGCAATCTGTCGACACCGCGCGGCAACTTCCCATTGCGCAGGGGCGGGAAGCGCAAGGACACCAGCCCGCTCCTCATATTCAGCTACCAGCTCTGCTTACCGCGGGTGCCTAACAATGAATGCAGGAAGAGGTCGTGGGCGCTCAGGCTGGTCATCACGCACTCGCAGGGCAACGGCGATAACGGCATGGTCACTAAGCCCTCGAAGAAAGCACTCTTCAGGCTCACCATGTACTCGCAGCCCTTGCCATTCCCGAACTAAGGCCCATCCTGCATCAGCAACGAAGCAGCGGTCGATGATAGCTCCCGTACGTGTACCCTCATGCCAGCACGTGGGACGGCCACCGACGAGCTCCGTGAGCTGCCCGAAGATGGCGCGCCAGAGCCCATCGCCAGGGCGACCAGCACGACGCCTTTCCAAGGGACCCACGGCGAGCGAAACCGGCATGGAGCAAGGCGGCGTCGCAGGCGTGACTGTCGAAGCCGATGAAGATTCCGAACCAGAACTTGACGAGGAAGTCGAGGAGGAGGAAGAGGAACAGGGGGCGCCGACAACCGCGCAGCCAAACGCTGCCGAGGGAGCCGACGTCGAACTCGACCGCCGCGTCGGAGAGGTTAAAGTCACCCATGACGATCATGCCGAGTTTCCTAGGGTGGGCCCGCACCAGCCCCGCAACTGAAGAGATTAAATCTGTGACCCCGCGGATGGCGTCCTTGCCGAGGTCGTGGTTATGGTTATGTACATTGAAATGGTAGAACTTAAAACTGCCCGAAGCACGCGTGAACTCTCCCACGGACGAGCGCCTTGCAGTCGACCTGGACTCCAGCGGCGCGCGGGAACAACGCGGCGACGCCTCCGCGCTTGCCCGCCACAGGGGGGGGGGGGGGGGCAGCAACGCCGTACTGCGGACCAAACGTCCGCACCAGCTCCTCCATGACGATGGGCTTCGCATGAGTCTCCTGCAGTGCCAAACTTGCGTTCGTCCCCAAGAGCCGCCGTACCCCAGCGAGCTTCCGATTGAGAATGCGGGGCCGATGGTGGTTGAGTGCGCGAGCATTCCAGCTATGCACATTGAGCCCACCGCCCCCGAAAATGTTGCTAGGATGACCACGTCGCCACGGGCTGCTGGAACAGGCTCTCGACCAGATCGCCCACCTCGCGACGGGCAACGCCCAAGTCGGCCAGGGCGGAGAGGTTCCAGTGCACCCGCACGGGGTCGGTGGGCGACACGATGACCTTGGCTACTGGTTCCCATTGAATAGAGCAGATGCCAGTAGCGCGATCAGCATGCACCACCTTGCCCAGCTTCTCCGCCAGCGCGGCCCGCACCTTCTTGGTGGAGGTCTCACGTACCACTGTGCCTCTGTTCTTGTCGACCGACACGAACACATCCACTCTCCTGTTGCCAGGCGCCCGAATGCAGAACGACCTCAACGCGCCATGTTGATCGCGAAGAGCATTATGAGCAGCAGCCACCTTCCGCTCCGCAGCGCCCAGGACCCCAGGAAGCGGATGGTGAATCGCTTGCCCAGCGCCACGCCCTCGACTTCGTAGTCTTCTCCAAATGTGAAGCCCGCCGACGCGAGTCATGGCCGCACCTCGGTGATGATGTCTTGATTCGGCACATCCTCCTTGGCACGAACCGTGAAGATACTTGTATCAACCTACCTATCCCAATCTGCCGCAAGCGCAATAAGGGTGCCTCTCTTCATGTCTAGCGAGGTGCAGTTCCTCTTCGAGCTTGCGAACCCGCTGCTGCATAGCTTTCGAGGCCTCCTCCACTTGCTCAACCTGCCGCCCGAGCTCCGCAATGGCCTCGTCCACTGCCTGGAACCGCTTGTTCGCAGCCTTCTCCTGTCGCTCGAGAATGGGAGCGAGGCTGGCCGTGATGATGCCAGGGACCTCTCTGCGGACGGACGCCATGACCCCCGCCGATGGAGGTCTCCGCAGCGCGCGTGACCTGCTCGATGATCGCCGCTTGCACCGTGCTGTAGTCCAACTTGTCCTCAGGCTGCTCCGCCACGGGTGTGGCTGAGGCGCCACGAGCCGCTGCCCCCGCCCACGGGTCGAAAAGAGTCGAGCACCCGCCAGCAGCCGCCTCTGGGACAGCAGGACGTACGCCGTCAGCAGCAGCAGCCGCAGGCTCCCCAGCACCGGGGAAGGTGGAGACCAGGTCGAACTCTGCGGCCAACTTCGCCCTCTCGCCAGGCGAGCTGAAGGGAGTCCTCCCAGGCGTGATCGGTGAGCCAGGGGCAGCGCCACCACGCGGCGGCGGCGAGGACCGCTCAGGAGGGGCGCTGCCCCTGCTGGTGCGGGAGCGGTCGCTGTCGTCGTCAGCACGCCGAAGACGGCGAGGGCCTCCAGAGGTAGACCTGCCAACCGAGACTTCAGACATGCCTTCATCGTCATCACGATCCCTGCGATGAGCAGGAGCAGGAGAGGCCCGACGGCCACTCTTCTTCTTGTCCTTGACATCCTTCTTGCTCTTGTTCTCTCTACCAGCAGGCATCAACCCGAGGACGGAACTCTTGGCCCCAGCAGCGCGCAGCTCGACTGGGGTTGCCTGAATCGGGAACTAGCCTCGGACTAGAGGTCTCCGTTTCCTGCCCCAGGGACACAGACATCTTGAGCAAAAATGGCTACGGAGGAGGAGGAGGAGGAGGAGGAAGAGGAGGCGGCGAAGAGGAGGAGAAGGAGGAGGAGGAGGAGGCGAAGAGGCCCCAGGGGCCAAGCCGCCGCGCGAGCCGCTGGAGGGGCGGAGCTGGCGGGAAAGCGGCGGTGCCTGGCCCTATTGGGCACTCGGCCAAGACGCTCGGAGCGTCTTGGCCGCAGGAGGAGTATGGGGGAGGATGGAGCAGAGGAGGGGAAGGAGGAACCAGAAGTAGCAGCTGGAGTCGCAGGAGAAGTAAGAGGCGGAGGAGGGCGGCAAGACGCAGTACGTGACAGGAGGAGGATGGCGACGGCGGCGATCCGACGTCGGCAACAGAGGGCGTATGGAATTCGCGAGGCCCAGGGCCAGAGGCGTGCTGAAATCTCTGGCCAGAGTTTCAACATGTTTCTAATTCGCGCGCGCGTGGCGGCCCCTGGGGGTCCCTGGACAAAGAGTATCCCAGCAAGGTCCCGGCAGGTCCCTGGCAGGGTCGGGTCACGGATGCTGGAACTCCTGGGCGCGGCGGGCCCTGGAAGCCCCCAGAGCGCCCCAGGAGCGCCCCAAGGAGCGCCCCAAGGAGGCGCCAAATAATTGGCAGGCCCAAAGGCCTCGGGCCAAGAGCGTTCCAAGATGGCCCAAGTTGGTCAAGACGGCCCAAGAGGCGCCCAAGACGCCCCAGGAGGACTCGAAGACGACCCCAAAGGCCTCGAAGAGGCAAAAGTCATTGATTTCGCGTGGTTTTTGGAAGGTGTTGGCGTTATCGCCTTTTCAGGCTGCCGACCGCCCAGGCTCCCAGGAGGGCCCCAAGACAGCCCATGAGGACCCCAAGACAGCCAAAGACAGCCAAAGAGGCCTCCCCAGAGGGCTCCAGAGGCTCCCATGCTGGCCCCAAGAGAGGGAACCCGAAGAGACAGATCGAGCCTTCCCCGAAATCTGGCCCCCCAGACCGCTAGCAGCCCCCCAAGAAACCCTCGAGAGGCCCTAGGAGATCCAAAAGTATGCCCCACGGGGCCCCCAAGAGGCCCCAGGAAGTCCCAGAAATGCCGCCGAGAGGCCAGAGAGGCCACTTAAGAGACCCCGAAAAGCCTTCAAAAGAGACGTCGTGTCCGCGACCCAGTTTGGTCCCCACAGTGCCCCAAGAGGCCTTCGAATGGCCTCCTCCTCCTCCTCCTCCTCCTCCTCCTCCTCCTCCTCCACCTCCTCCTCCTCCTCCTCCCCTATCGAGTCCCCTATCCTCCGTCTCGCATGGCATGGGCACACCGACATATAGCAACAGTGGTGCAAGATAGGCCGGCGGAATGAGCGAAGCCATCCGCCGCCCCACGGGGTACGGCGTGTAAGAGATCCACCGCATGCTCTGAAAGCAATGCTTTCTGAAACTCCTCACAACAGCGCGCTTGTCATACCTACCATCGCCTCTGAGCTCTCACAACCCCTCCTAGGGTCCTTTCCGCGGCCCGCTCATCATTCCGCCAGCCCGAGGGCCCAGGCTGCGGACGGGGCGCCCTCTGGGCACCGCTTCCGTCTCAACAAAAGGTTCCCCCTTTCACGTGCTGGGCTTCCAGGCACCACCAGGCCCTCTCAGAGATTTCTCCAGGAGCCTACTGGGCAATTGTTTGGAGCCTCTCGGGGCCCTGTCTGGGCTGATCTTGACAGTCCTTCGGGCCACATTGGACCGTCCTGGATGCATTTCCCCTTCTGCTCGAGTCACAGAATCCAGAAAATCCCAACAAACAGCAAAATCGTGAAACGCATAAGATTATGACGATTCTGGACTTCTCGCGCTTCTCCTTGCGCCTCTCTTTGAGCTCCCGTGCATCTCCGCGGGCTCTTGCGGCTATCTTGGAACATGCGGATGCTCTCTACGGCCGTCCTCACAGCGTCTGGGCGACTTCTTGGCGCATTTTCGGCCGTCTGGGGCGCCCCCAGAGAGCCCCCGGGTTCCCCATCCAGGCGCCAAAAACAAACTAGAACTGTGTGTGTGTGTTCCCCCTCCAGTTTTCATCGTGCACCCCACTCCTGTGACAGATGCTCTGCAACATGGCCCCAAAAGGCCACCCAGAACTCCCACGAAAGGCCCAAGAGAACCCGAAGGAGGCCCCAAGAGGGCCCCGGAACGCCCCAACAGAGCCCGAAGAGGACCCCAATACCCTCTCCAAAGAGCCCCGCGAGGGCTCCAAGAGGTAGCCGTCATGTTTTTTTACTCGGGGGCGGCATCCCTCCCTCTTGTTTTTGTTTTCTCTCTCTCTCTCTCTCTCGCTCACCCGTCCATATACGTCCTATATATATATATATATATATATATCGCTCTTCCCGCTCTTGTGTTTTTTGCCTTCTCTCCGTGCGCACGTGCTGCACCGCTGCTGTCTCGGGCTTGAGCCATTCAAGGGATCATTAAGGCCCACGTGACGTTCGCAGCCTTAGTGATGGTCACAGTCTAGCTGAAGCCTTCTGGTGAATAGTGGACTCCTGGTATCATTCACGCAAACAGTGACTCTCTTACCATCTGGTTCGACACGGCCGCGAGGCAACGGGGATCCAGAGTTCAAGTACCGTCGTGTGACGGGGCGCTTCCACATTCCATATCATTGTTGTTATCTTGCCTCAGAGTGAGGCGGTGCCGTACATTGAATGACAGACCTCGGCTATATCCTGTTGCAAGACGGCAACGCACGGAGACTCCGACACTTTCTTGGACCCCGAGTCCAGTGGACAGCATGCCTTAATCAGCTTTCGACGTTTTACTGCGACTTCTTCCAGGGCTACCTGGACTTCCTGCACCAGTCCTTCCAGAGGGCCATGGTGGAGGAAAGCATCAGAGACAGCCAGACGTGGTACCTCCGCATCCAGCGGGAGCCCCACGAGGAGATCAGGGATGCGATGAACATGCATGCCGACATGGACATCACCGACGACGATGCGAGGATGCTACTGAGGAGGGACCTCAAGTCGAACACCTCCAACGACGGGCGGCCGACGTCCTCGAGCGGTCGCTGGTCGTGGGGCTCGTAGCCTCCGAGGAGGCCCACGAGCGCCTCATGGTCCGCTGGCCGCTACCCCTCCGCCACATCCAGGACCACAATGTTGTGTTCTCCCTAATTCAGAGTACTCTATATCGTGCAGCAGCCGCCCCCCAAGAAGAGGCAACCAGCCGGCTGCGACAATGGATATGGCCACAGCGTGGACATCGCCGTGCTGTACCGCGATTGGTCAGCTTATTGTCCTTTTTGCTGGAGTATGTCGCTGGCCCATAGAGGCCATTGTTTCGACCACTACGAGGAGTTGACCTGTGGAGTGTGATAGGCTTGTCACTGGTCATGCTGGCTGTTCTCCGCTTGCGGCGCGCGCAGGCACAACGACACCTACACCTACCGTCATGGGCCAGGAAGCTCCTGTCCATAGCTGCCCCCGACCTCCGCGCTGCCCTCCAAGACTGGGAGCGCCCTCTGCTCATGCATATCTTTGGGTGCTTCCTCGGCCCCCCGCGCACGGAGGCCCGAGCCGTGGTCCACGTGCCCGGCAGCCACAGCGGACTGTACATTGGCAAGGCTCTCCTGCGTGACACGGCGCCCCCTGGTCTACTGGGCCGAGTCGCTGAGCATGTGCGTGCAGTGCTTCACCCCCGTGTCGGCCCAGGTCGCCGACCACGCTACCGAGTACTCCGCCGCAGCCTAGGATCGTTGTTTTTACTACCCGTGCTGCTGCCGAGGACGGAGCGAGCGTCCTTCCACTTTGAGACGCTCGCTATCAGACGTTTCAACCCGAAGTGCAACCAGAGTGATGCCATGGAGTCCGAGGCCATCAGCAGGCGGCGGGGCACGGGCCAGCTCCACACGATGATGAAGACCCGCAGCGCCCAGCGCCGCCGCCCCCCGTCTTGGCGACGAGGGCCGCGCGCGGCTACGGGTGCACCTGCCTGGGCGAGCACAGTCCTAACGGCGGCCCAGGAGATAGTCTCTGCGGCCTACCCAGGTGCCCTGTCCGAGTCGGCGCCGGTCGGGGTCCTCTACCAGCTCCAGATCGCCGAACACCACCACCTCACGGGCCAGATCGGCCCCCTCTGGCTGTTCGAGGGCCGTAGGCTGGGGCTCCTGCCAGCCTTCCCGGCGGCCAAATGGAAGGACCTACCCGTCTTCACCTTCCTCACCAGCGTGGAGGTGGGCGCCCATCTGTACCTAGCGGCCTCCATGGCGGGGCACTTCCTACGATCCTTCCATATGCAGCGGATGGCCATGCATCACATCGACCTTCACCTCCGACGGCTTCGGCTCCCCAGCGCGCGTCGGCCACCACTACGCCTACCAGCTGTCTTCCAGGACGCCGAGTACCGCAGGTGGGTTAGCTCGGCGATCACGCACATGGCATCGACGATGAAGTTCGCACCGACACGAGAAGTTTACCGACAGCCCCCACGGGCTACCCACAGCAATGTACCCTGCTGGAAGGACCGCGTGTCGGCCAGCCGCTTCTGTGCTGACTACACCTCCGTGGCAGTCCCTCATCCGCCCGAGGGCCCACCGTCTGCCCCTTGGCGCCTACGCCGCCTGGGCGCTCCCTGGCGGCTACCGCCTGCGTGGCCTCGCCCGCACATGGGCACTACGTGAGGCGCGGGCGGCGCTGAGCGCGTGGGCGGCCAAGGCGCGCATCCCCCCCCGTGTGCTGCGACGTGGCTTTCGGCATCTACGGCAGTGGATCTCGAACAGATGGATAGCGCCGCCTGCACCTCCACCAGCTTGGCAGCAGGTTGAGCATGATCTATCGATGAGCTCGGATGAGGCTGATGAGTGCGTGATCATTGCTGATGACAAAGAGTGCGACAAGGTGTGGGCGTGCGACGGTGACGACGTGATGAGGTACCTCCACCAGCTGGCCATGTCGGACCCCGACTGGACCCTCAGGCTCGATATCTCGCCGCACGACGCCGCCGTGTGGATGTGGGGACGCGCGGTGGCGGCGCTTCCGCCCTGGCTGCGCACCCCACGCCTGATGCCCGCACCCTCGGCGGACACGAAGCCGCCGTATGTCTTCCCACCGGTCAAAAGAAAATGTGTCTCCCCTTCGGGAGAGCGGACGTGTTGCAAGCCCTTTCACAGGTGTCTTCGACGAGTTATAAATTGCTCCCAGGCCCCAGGATCGCATGGATTTCAGATCATCGGCCGTGCAGCACGTGACCTTCTATCCAGAAGTAGGGTGAGTTCGGAGGTCTTCAACACTAACCACGCAGCTGATGA